GTGACAACTAAGCTATTGAAAATGTTCCTAGAACATGAGTTTAGTGATTTTGGGGCTACTTTTGTCGTAAAGAAAAAGTTTCTGCCTTTACCTTCGATAAGTGAGAGTAGAGACGACAACTATATTGATGTTATAGACAATATTAAAGGCAACGTTCATGTAAAACGTAACAACAAAGTAAAAATGAGTACTACCGATGCAGGTGAAGGTCATTTGATGATTATGTGGAGCCCACAAGAATTCGTGGCTTTTTTAGACCAAGATAATTCAACTATAGTTTCAAAATCTAGATCCACATATGCTCTATTGTTTTTAATATCGGCAACCACTAGTTGTACGACAATTCGCACCCAAGTAGACCACATTTTGACCAGACTGTGGACAAACTTCAGCATTTTGAACGTCATAGTCCAGGCTCCGTGCTCCTGTGGAAGACAAGTCTTCATTTATCGTCCCTTTGCCAAAACAAAGAAGTCATTTGGAACTCTTCAAACTTACGTAATTGAAGATGTCATCAAAAACCCAAATTTAATCCTAAACCCTCTCAACAACCTAAACAAGTTTCCTCTCAAAATTTCCTTATTTGAACGAGTACCATCTTCCGTGAGAAACGTCCCCAGACTCCTAAAACTCGACAAAAACTACCAAGACTTAAGTTTAAGTGGAGGTTTTGTGGGTTCGGACGCTCTTTTGGTTGCCACTTTTGCCAAGTACCACAATTTTGAGCCAAAAATAGGCAAAAACTTGTCTACAGGTTTTGGTCATGTGCACCCAAACGGTTCAGTGGGTGGTGTTTTAGCCGAAGTACTTAAGAAAACGTCAGACTATGGAGCAAATCGGCGGCTGCTAGGGTACGAACCGCACGGCTACGAATTTACGGTACCATACAGTTCGGATAAAATATGCGCAGTGGTACCGAAGTCGGAGAAAGTTCCGCGGGGACTGTCAATCATTACTTGCTTTGATAAGCTTTCCTGGGTACTCTTTTTCGTGATGAGCGTCGTGTGTGCAATTTTTTGGTTCTTCGTTAGATGTGATAACGTCTTCAAGGTACTGCAGGAAGTGTATTCGTTTTTATTGGGAGTGCCATCCAAGGTGGTAGCTTCTACACACCAGATGATGTTTTTAACGTCTTGTATGATGTTAAATGTGATTGTTTTGGGTGTGATTCAGGGATCTTTGTTTACTGACTTCACGACGAGCAGGTACTATACGGAAATCAACACTCTGGTGGAAGTCGATCGGATGGAATTGCCTATAATGACGTTCGCGTGGCTCATTATCAACGACAGCAATTCTGAAATACTGAAAAATCTGAAACGGAAAAGCATGCCAGATAGTGATGATATGTGGGATATAGTGGCCTATCATAGAAATGTCGTTGTGATAGATAGACAATTCGACGTCGAAGTGGCACTAAGGACGAATTTTACTGGAAGAAGTGGGGTACCGTTGTTGCATATTGTGGATGAGAGTGTGGCGACTTATCTCCAGGCTTGTATTATTCCGCAAGGATCGCCTTTTTTGCTCATTTTTAATGAAATAATTGTGAGGATGTTTGAAGGAGGTTTCATACTGAAATGGGATAACGATGTTGTGGATAGTTTGATAATTGAACGGATCAGTGAAACGAGTGTTGAAGAAGAACTCAAAGCTTTTCGTTTGGAAGACATGCAAGTGGCTCTTTATGTGGTCGCTACTGGATATGTTTGTTCATTGGCAGTTTTTTTGGCGGAGATTTTGAAAAGCAAATTCGGCGATGTTGTTTATTGGAATAATTTGATAACGGAATAAATCATAAAAAGGTTCTCTGTGTGAGTTTTATTTGAGTAGGCGATAAATTGGGCTTTGTGTGGTACTATTCCTGAAATTTCCATCAAGTACGAAAACATTATATAGATGGTTCCAAGCAAAGTCAAAAACTCATAGTCATCGTGTGAGTAGAAGCGGTACCAACTATATTGTCTTATTGTACCCAACCCATCTGGATATTCGACGTGCTTTAGGTACCACCTCGCAGGTTTCTTCAGTGAAAAGGGACTGAATTCGAGTTCGTTGGTTGCACAAAGGTTTACCGGAAACGAAGTGTCCCTCTATCGTTCCAAAGGGATTTTCTCATCTCCTAATGATTAATAACGTGATCACCAGGATGTTCGAAGGAAGGTTTATCCGAAAATGGGGCAATGACGTAGTCGAGAGTGTCATGGTCGAACGAATAAACAGAATGATTAGCGCCAAAAACGTTAAAGCTTTCTCTTTGAAAGATACTCAAGCTGCTTTCAATGTAATTGCTGTTGGTTATGTTTGCTCAGTGATGGTTTTCGTGAGCGAAATTATGAAAAACACATTTCGTGAACAATAATGGTTGGTGTAATTTTTGTGACATGTTTATCAATAAATAAACTGGAAACAACTAGCTTATGCTTTCAACTGCTTAACAATAATATAATTAACTTTGTATTGGCACCTCATATTTCATTCAGGATGCAATTTTTTGTCTGTGTCTAGTAAGTAAAGTTGTAAGATTTAAGTCTGTGCATCCAAAGAGAGGCTAGAGCACTGAATAATAATTGGTCAAAGAATGTCAATGAATTATCGTATTCCTCACTGAGGAACAACAAAACATGCGTCTTAATGACATGCGTCTCCTACTTCTCGTCCTGTTTATAATTTTAGTAAGAAGAAGCTTGACGAACACGTTTCTAGTTTCTTCTTCAGAGTGTAAAATTTTCGGAGATGATTTTGTAAAAATTTTACAACACCATTTCTGCTTGGCCCGTGTTTTAACAGTTTCAGTATTACGAACTAATTATTACAACTCAGACGTAGATTATGTGACAACTAAGCTATTGAAAATGTTCCTAGAACATCAGTTTACTTTTATAGTAAAGAAAAAGTTTCTAGCTTTACCTTCGATAAGTGAGACTAGATACGACAACTATATTGATGTTATCGACAATATTAAAGGCAGCATTCATGTAAAACGTAACAACAAAGTAAAAATGAGTACCACTGATGCAGGTGAAGGCCATTTGATGATTATGTGGAGTCCACAAGACTTCGCAGCTTTTCTAGACCAAGACAATTCAGCTATAGTTTCAAGATCTAGATCCACATATGCTCTATTGCTTTTAATATCGGCAACCACTAGTTGCACGACAATTCGCACCCAAGTAGACCACATTTTGACCAGACTGTGGACAAACTTCAGCATTTTGAACGTGATAGTCCAGGCTCCGTGCTCCTGTGGAAGACAAGTCTTCATTTATCACCCCTTTGTCAAAACGAGAGATTCCTGGGGCACTCTCCAAAGCTACACGTTCCAACAAATCACCAAAAACCCAACCCTACTTGTAACTTCTTTAAGAAACTTAAACCAATTTCCAGATCGAGTTTCTCTTTTTGAAAAACTCCCAACGGCTTTGCAGGCAGTACCGAACATGTTAAAATTCAACCCGATTTACCAGGATTTGTCCGTAAGTAAGGAGTTCGCAGGCTCTGATGGTTTACTAGTTGGTACTTTAGCACAGTACCTTAACTTTGAGGCAGTCGTTGATCCAGACTTACCCAGACTCTACGGACACGTACTTCAAAACGGCTCCGTTATTGGAGTTCTAGCTCTAGTACTAAACGGTAAGTCAGACTATGGTGCTAATCGCAGAATATTGTCCTACTATCCAATAGATGGGTTTGAATTTACCGTGGCTTACAGTTCCGACAAGATCTCCGCTGTGGTCCCCAAATCCCTGAAAGTACCACGCGGACTTTCCATTTTTAACTGCTTCGATAAACTGTCCTGGGTTTTAATTTTCGTGGTCAGTTTTGTGTGTGTTTTCTTCTGGTATTTGATCAGTCGCGACAATCTCTACAACACCCTAAAAGAGATTTATTCGCTTTTGGTGGGAATGTCGGTCCAGATAGTACCATCCAGCTACCAAACTTTTTTCTTGACTTCGTGTATGATTTTCAATTTGATTATTTTTGGAATTATTCAGGGTTCGCTTTTCACTGATTTCACCACGCCGTCGTACTACCCAGAAATCAATACAGTCGAAGAAGTCGATAAATCGCAGCTACCCATCATGACGTACGTCTGGCTGCTCATCAAAGACAATTCGTCCCAACTCCTCAACAGATTAAAAGTTAAAAGTATTCCGGAGAGCGCCAACATGTACGAGATCGTTGCTTTGTACAAGAACGTGGTTTCTATTGATAGAAAATTCGACGTGGAGGTGGCGATTCGGACGCAGTTTACGGGAGACGATGGTGTTCCGCTTTTACACATGGTCAAGGAAGAAATAGCGACTTTCCTGTTGTCGTGTATCGTTCCAAAGGGATCTCCCTATCTCCTGATGTTTAATAACGTCATCACCAGCATGTTTGAAGGAGGGTTTATCAGAAAGTGGGACAACGACGTAGTCGAGAGCATCATGGTCGAACGAATCAACAGAATGATTAGCGCCAAAAAATTTGAAGCTTTCTCATTGGACGATATTCAAGCTGCTTTCTACATCACTGGTGTTGGTTATGTTTGCTCTGTGGTCGCTTTCGTGGGTGAAATTATGAAAAACAAATTTCGTAAACAACAGTTTTAACTTATGTGTAATTTCTGTGGCATGTTTAGAAAGTAATTGTGTTTAACTGGAAACAACTAGGTTACGGTGTAATCGGGCTGACAATCAAATAATTACTTTTTTTTTTCACCCGATGTTTTATTCACGATGCAATTTTGTGTCTGCGTTACCGTTTAGATTTAAATCTGTGCACCCAAAAAGTAATGTAACATGCGACTTGTACTTTTCCTAATGTTTATAATTTTATTGAAGAAAAACTTGACGAAAACGTTTCTGGTTTCTTCTTCAGAGTGTAAAATTTTTGGCGACGATTTTATACAAATTTTACAACACCACTTCTGCTTGGCTAATTTTTTAACAGTTTCAGTATTACGAACTAATTATTACAACTCAGACGTAGATTATGTGACAACTAAGCTATTGAAAATGTTCCTAGAACATGAGTTTAGTGATTTTGGGGCTACTTTTATCGTAAAGAAAAAGTTTCTGGCTTTACCTTCGATAAGTGAGACTAGAGACGACAACTATATTGATGTTATAGACAATATTAAAGGCAGCGTTCATGTAAAACGTAACAACAAAGTAAAAATGAGTACTACCGATGCAGGTGAAGGTCATTTGATGATTATGTGGAGCCCACAAGAATTCGTGGCTTTTTTAGACCAAGATAATTCAACTATAGTTTCAAAATCTAGATCCACATATGCTCTATTGTTTTTAATATCGACAACCACTAGTTGTACGACAATTCGCACCCAAGTAGACCACATTTTGGACAGACTGTGGACAAACTTCAGCATTTTAAACGTCATAGTCCAGGCTCCGTGCTCCTGTGGAAGACAAGTCTTCATTTATCGTCCCTTTGCCAAAACAAAGAAGTCATTTGGAACTCTTCGAACTTACGTAATTGAAGATGTTATCAAAAACCCAAATTTAATCTTAAACCCTCTCAACAACCTAAACAAGTTTCCTCTCAAAATTTCCTTATTTGAACGAGTACCATCTTCGGTGAGAAACGTCCCCACACTCCTAAAACTCGACAAAAACTACCAAGACTTAAGTTTAAGTGGAGGTTTTGTGGGTTCGGACGCTCTTTTGGTTGCCACTTTTGCCAAGTACCACAATTTTGAGCCGAAAATAGCCAAAAATTTGTCTAGAGGTTTTGGTCATGTGCACCCAAACGGTTCAGTGGGTGGTGTTTTAGCCGAAGTACTTAAGAAAACGTCAGACTATGGAGCAAATCGGCGACTGCTAGGGCACGAACCGCACGGCTACGAATTTACGGTACCATACAGTTCGGATAAAATATGCGCAGTGGTACCGAAGTCGGAGAAAGTTCCACGGGGACTATCAATCATTACTTGCTTTGATAAGCTTTCTTGGGTACTCTTTTTCGTGATGAGCGTCGTGTGTGCAATTTTTTGGTTCTTTGTTAGACGTGACAACATTATCAAAGTTTTACAACAGGTGTATTCGTATTTATTGGGAGTACCATCCAAGGTGGTACCTTCTACACACCAGATGGTTTTTTTAACGTCTTGTATGATTTTAAATGTGGTTGTTTTGGGTGTGATTCAGGGATCTTTGTTTACTGATTTCACCACGTTTACGTACTATACGGAAATTAACACGCTGGTGGAAGTCGATCGGATGGAATTGCCTATAATGACGTTCGTGTGGCTCATTATCAACGACAGCAATTCTCAAATACTGAAAAATCTGAAACGGAAAAGCATACCAGAGAGTGACGATATGTGGGATATAGTGGCCTATCATAGAAATGTCGTTGTGATAGATAGACAATTCGACGTCGAAGTGGCACTAAGGACGAATTTTACTGGAAGAAGTGGGGTACCGATGTTGCATATTGTGGATGAGAGTATATCGACTTATTTCCTAGCTTGTATTATTCCGCAAGGATCACCTGTTTTGTTAATTTTTAATGAAATCATTGTGAGGATGTTTGAAGGAGGTTTCATCCTGAAATGGGATAGCGACGTTGTGGATAGTTTGATGATTGAACGGATAAATCAAACGAATGTCGAAGAAGAATTCAAAGCTTTCCGTTTAGAAGACATGCAAGTGGCTTTTTATGTGGTCGCTATTGGATATGTTTCTTCAGTGGCAGCTTTTTTGGCGGAGATTTTGAAAAGCAAATTCGGTGGTGTTGTTTGTTGGAATAATTTGATAACGGAATAAATCATAAGAAAGATTTTGTGAGTTTTATTTGAGTAGGCTATAAAGTCAAAAACTCATAGTCATCATGAGAGTAAAGCGGTACCAACTATATTGTCTTATTTTACCCAACCCATCTGGATACTCGACGTGCTTTAGGTACCACCTCGCAGGTTTCTTCAGTGACAAGGGAACTGAATTCGAGTTCGTTGGTTGCATAAAGGTTTACCGGAAACGAAGTGTTCTTCTATCGATCCAAAGGGATTTCCTTATCTCCTAATCTTTAATAACGTGATTACCAGGATGTTGGAAGGAGGGTTTATCCGAAAATGGGACAATGACGTAGTCGGGAGTGTCATGGTCGAACAAATAAACAGAATGATTAGCACCAAAAAAGTTAAAGCTTTCTCTTTGAATGATACTCAAGCTGCTTTCAATGTAATTGCTGTCGGTTATGTTTGCTCAGTGATGGTTTTCGTGAGCGAAATTATGAAAAACAAATTTCGTCTACAATAATGGTTGGTGTAATATTTGTGACATGTTTATCAATAAATAAACTGGAAATAACTAGCTTATGCTTTAATTTGGTTAACATTCAAATAATTAACTTTGTATTGACACCCCATATTTCATTCAGGGTTCTATGTTTTGTCTGCGTCTAGTAAGTAAAGTTGTAAGATTTAAGTCTGAAGAATGTCGATGATTTATCGTATTGCTCACTGAGGAACAACAAAACATGCGTCATAATGACATGCGTCTTTTACTTCTCGTCCTGTTTATAATTTTAGTGAGAAAAAGCTTGGCGGACACGTTTCTGGTTTCTTCTTCGGAGTGTAAAATTTTTGGCGACGATTTTATAAAAATTTTACAACACCACTTCTGCTTGGCTAATGTTTTAACGGTTTCAGTACTACGAACTAATTATTACAATTCAGACGTAGATTATGTGACAACTAAGCTATTGAAAATGTTCCTAGAACATCAGTTTACTTTTATAGTAAAGAAAAAGTTTCTAACTTTATCTTCGATAAGTGAGACTAGAGACCACAACTATATTGATGTTATCGACAATATTAAAGGCAGCATTCATGTAAAACGTAACAACAAAGTAAAAATGAGTACCACTGATGCAGGTGAAGGCCATTTGATGATTATGTGGAGCCCACAAGACTTCGCAGCTTTTCTAGACCAAGCCAATTCAACTATAGTTTCAAGATCTAGATCCACATATGCTCTATTGTTTTTAATATCGGCAACCACTAGTTGTACGACAATTCGAACCCAAGTAGACCACATTTTGACCAGATTGTGGACAAACTTCAGCATTTTGAACGTAATAGCCCAGTCTCCATGTTCCTGTGGAACACAGATCTTCATTTATCGTCCCTTTGTCAAAACAAAAAAGTCTTTCGGACTTCTTCAAACCTACACAGTTGAAGAAGTCAACAAAAACCCAAACCTAATCTTAAACCCACTCAACAATCTAAACAAGTTTCCTCTCAAAATTTCCTTATTTGAACAAGTACCATCTTCGGTGAGCAACATCCCCAGACTACTAAAACTCGACAAAAGCTACAAAGACTTGAGTTTGAGTGGAGGTTCTGTTGGTTCTGACGCTCTCTTAGTTGCCACTTTTGCCAAGTACCACAATTTTGAGCCGAAAATAGTCAAAAATTCGCCTGGAAGTTTCGGTCATGTGCAGCCAGATGGTTCAGCGGGTGGTGTTTTAGCCGAAGTACTCAAGAAAACGTCGGATTATGGAGCAAATCGTCGACTACTAGGGTACGAACCACATGGGTACGAATTTACAGTACCATACAGTTCGGATAAAATATGCGCAGTAGCGCCAAAGTCGGAGAAAGTTCCGCGCGGACTTGCGTTGATTACTTGCTTTGACAAGCTTTCCTGGATCATGTTTTTCGTCATGAGCATCCTGTGTGCAATTTTTTGGTTCTTCGTTAGACGTGACAATGTTTTCAAGGTTTTACAAGAGGTGTATTCGTTTTTATTGGGAGTACCATCCAAGGTGGTACCTTCTACACACCAGATGGTTTTTTTAACGTCTTGTATGATTTTGAACGTGATTGTTTTGGGTGTGATTCAGGGGTCTTTGTTTACTGATTTCACCACGAGCAGGTACTACAAAGAAATTAATACTTTGGAGGAAGTCGACCGGACGGGGTTGCCAATAATGACGTTCGCGTGGCTCATCATCAACGACAGTAATTCTGAAATCCTGAAAAGTCTGAAACGGAAAAGCATGCCAGATAGTTATGATATGTGGGATATAGTGGCCTATCATAGAAATGTCGTTGCCATAGATAGACAATTCGAAGTCGAAGTGGCACTAAGGACGGATTTTACTGGGAGAAGTGGAGTACCACTGTTGCATATTGTGGATGAGAGTATAGCGACTTATCTCCAAGCTTGTATTATTCCGCAAGGATCGCCTTTTTTGCCCATTTTTAACGAAATAATTGTGAGGATGTTTGAAGGAGGGTTTATACTGAAATGGGATAACGACGTTGTGGATAGTTTGATGATTGAACGGATCAATGAAACGAGTGTTGAAGAAGAATTCAAACCTTTTCGTTTGGAAGACGTGCAGGTGGCTTTTTATGTGGTCAGTGTTGGATATGTTTGTTCGATGGCAGCTTTTTTGGGAGAAATTTTGAAAAGCAAATTCGGTGAAGTTGTCTGCTGGAATAATTTAATAACAAGATAAATAATGAAAGAGTTTTGTGAGTTATATTTGTAGTAAGCAATAAATAAGCTTTGTGTGGTACTACTCGTGGTACGATTCCTGAAATATTCCCATCAAGTACGAAAACATTATATCGAGGGTTTCGAGCAGGTTATTTTTTGCAGTGATTGATTTCTATGGAAGGTCATTCCACTTCCCGACTAATCGATACAAAATAATTACTCTAATCAAATAAACCACCGAGATTTAGTGAAGATAGGAGCCGCATATACAAATGTGGTAAGAAGTTAAACGAACGTTCAGACAAACTTATTGCTGAAAATGCTTCATATTTTATACACATTCGTTCTAATTTTTTCATTTCCCCATTTAACAACCACTTGTACAATTTCGGGAAACGAATTTGTAGCAATTTTGTTCGAACATTTTCGTCTGGTCGACATTTTAACAGTTACAGTTATTCAAAGCAACCATTTAGACTACGAAATAAACCAAGCAATAAACGACTTATTAAAATTGCTAACTGAAAATCCCCAATACACTATAAAAATTCGACAATTTGTGTCCAACAATGAAACAAAGTACTACCACGACATTCTCGTAAACAGTGGAGAAAAAGTACGTCTGAAACACGATCAAACCCTCCGCAAACTCAAGTTGCGCACTACTGATCCTGGAGAAGGATTTTTAATCCTTGCTACAAGCACAGAAACTTTCGACGCTTCGCTAGATGAACACAGTACCACCCTAGTACCAAAAGCTAGATCAACCTATGTTTTATTTTTCGTCACACCATCAACCAACTGCCGCTTCATTACAACTAAAATCAAACACATTTTGGCAAAATTGTGGACCCAATTTAATATTTTGAATATTGTAGCTGCAGTACCATGCTCTTGTCGGAACAAAATTTTCGTCTATCGCCCTTTCGACAAACAAAATAATTCGTGGGGAACCCTTCAAAGCTACACTCTTCAAGAAACCATCAAGAACCCACATCTACTTTTAAACCCGTTACTCAATTTAAACAAGTTTCCTCTTAAAATCGCCATATTCCAACGAGTTCCATCTGCAGTTCACCCCGTACCAAAACTACTAAAGTACCACCCGATTTATCGTAACTTGTCTCGTAACGAATTTGCCGGCTCTGATGCTCTTCTAGTAAGTACTTTGGCTGAGTACCTCAACTTTGACCCAGTACTGGACACCAACTGGCCTCCCGCCACAAGCTTCGGGCACGTAGCTCCCGATGGTTCATCGTACGGGGTACTAGCCGACGTTATTGCAAAAAAATCGGACTATGCAGCAAATCGCCGCCTCCTGGTGTTTTACCCAGTGGAAGGTTTTGAATTTACAGTACCCTACAGCTGCGATAAACTGACCGCCATTGTCCCCAAGTCCGTCGAAGTACCACGAGGAAGTTTCCTTTTCACTTGCTTCAACAAACTGTCTTGGTTTTGGATTTTCGGCGTCAGTGGTGTTAGTACCGTATTTTGGTACTTAGTGCGACGCCAACAACTGCGCGTTGTCGTGGTGGAAATTGGGTCGTTCTTACTGGGAATACCACACAAGATGGTACCGACGTTGGATCAGTTGGTTTTTCTAGCTTCTTGTATGGCGTTTAATGTCATTGTTTTTGGGATTATACAAGGAGCGCTCTTTATGGATTTCACCACGATTGTTTACTATCCAGAAGTTAACACTTTGGAAGAAGTTGATAAGTTAGGACTGCCCGTGATGACATTCGCTTGGTCGGTGGTTTCAGACAACAAGTCGGACGTTGTCAAAAGATTACAACTTAAAAGTATCCCTGAAAGTACCAACATGTGGGAAATTGTTGCTTTGTACAAAAACGTGGTGTCCATTGACCGAAAATTCGACGTAGAAGTGGCAATAAAGACGAATTTTACAGGACGACGTGGTGTTCCTCTTTTACACGTTGTTGATGAAAGCATCGCCACTTTACTACAAGCTTGCATTGTCCCGAAAAATTCCCCTTTTTTACTAGTTTTTAATAAAGTTATTGCGAGTATGTTTGAAGTCGGATTGACAACAAAATGGGACAATGATGTAGTGGACAGTATAGTGATGGAGGGCTCACTCGACACGATTGGAGAAGACTTCAGATCTTTTTCTTTAAAAGACATCCAAACTGCCTTCTTTGTACTTTGCGTCGGATATGTTTGCTCTGCTTTAGTGTTCCTAAGTGAATTTTTATGGTGTTGGTTTTACTGACAGCAAAGCAAATATTCTTGGTAAACTAAGTCCATCAATAATATTTTGTGACCCTTTATTCCGAACCAGTGTAAAAAGCGTAATA